AAGGCAGACGCTTAACCATCTGAGCCACCCAGGCGCCCCAATGTTTGCTATTTTTAAATAAAAGCTAGCTCTTGGATCTTAAATTACAGAAAGGACAAAGTTGCTATATTGAGAGCCTTATTTTAATCATCACACTGACTTTCCTAGGACTTACGATAAAAATTTCTTTCTGGTATTTTCATTATTTGGATTTTTCTTTGGCCCTTTGAGAAGCCTGAGCCATTTAAAAATCATACAGATAGTTATTCTGTCAGTTGTGAACTTTAAAAAAATGGTTATCCCACTAAATGTTATCTATTCATATTAAAGATTTTCTTTAAATAATTGCAAGTATCGGGGCGCCTGGGTGGCTCAGTCGTTAAGCGTCTGCCTTCGGCTCAGGTCATGATCCCAGGGTCCTGGGATAGAGCCCCACGTCGGGCTCCCTGCTCAGTGGGAAACCTGCTTCTCCCTCTCCCACTCCCCCTGCTTGTGTTTCCTCTCTCGCTTTCTCTCTCTCTCTCTCTGTCAAATAAGTAAAATCTTAAAAAAAAAGTAATTGCAAGTATCAATAGGGCACAACTGCACATTGTTCACTGCTGAACAAACACGCATATATTAAGGGAAAACTATGTTAGTTTTAAGAGCATAGTGGACATATCTTAAATTTAACATATGAAAGAAATTCAAATTTAAATTTGGAGTTTTGTATCAAGACCCTTTTGACCTCCCTGGCTTGAAATAATCCAAACGACCTGTGCTGAGGCAGAGGCACATGCCGAGACATCACATGCCAAACACGTGATTAAATAGAAAAGATAATTATGTTTTCCTAGTTTTCCTTAGATTATAAGAACTTACTGTGTACCTGTTCTATTATCAGACCACCATTCTGTATGACAAATAGGGCTTTAGCTGTAGAGGGAGAAGCCACGGCAGCCTGTTCTCCTTCAGGTTCGGGGAACATGGGAGGAGGAGGCTCCAGTGCTTTGGTCTGTTCCAGAACAGCTTTTGCGGTTCACTCTGCTCTGAGCCCACACTTTAAGAACATACCCAGACACTTGGCTGCATGTCTCTCTTCTCTAATACTGAGGACTTATAGAAGAATTAATAGCTGACAATGCTGTTCTACTTTCACAAAAGGACTTTTAAAAACCATTAACAAAAATCAACTTCACAAACCAAAAACCCAAAATTTTCACAAATTTTTTCCTCCCTTTTGGATGATCCTGTCCCTTGAGCCTTCTTTTTTGTTTTCTTGTTTTTGGAAGGGGGAGGGTAATTGTTCTGTTGTTAACCCTTGAACTAAGAATTTTGATTTAATTCTTACTGCAGAGCATATGCATTAATTTATAATATTCCACTCAAGCATTCTATTCAAATCTATAATGTTCTACTCAAACTTGAGCTTCTTCATGAAAAAGAAAAACTTTTTTGTGGGGGCTCCTGTTGAGATACTTTTAAGTATAAGACTATGGGTGATGATATGTTTGATACTGTTTTAAGTTGTCTGTTTCTGTTTGGTTTTATTATTTATAGTGAGCTAATTGCCATCCAGCATTCCCACTGTTTGGGTTCTTCAAAATCTGCCACAAGAGAGGATGAGAAATTAATAGAGACAGAGCCCTCTTCTGATACAAAGAACTCACCTAAGATTTTGTTATACAACAAAGAGGCACCATTGTCCACTGACAAGGTTTGTGTTTTGCTTAGAAATACCCAGTTTATTCAAGCAAAACTTCTCCCCAACATACTTTTAATTCTTCTGTAGTACTGCTTTTAGTGAGCTTAATTTTGGTCATTCTTCAATTTTTTTTTTTAATTATGTGATTTTAATTACATCATTTAACCAAAGTCAGAGTTTCCTTAAAATATTATCCTATAGATTAAGTCTAGTTAAAATGTCCCTCAGGCCCTCCAGGTGATTGGTAGATATATATATACACACATGTATTTTAAACATAACAAAAAAATGAAGGCTATAACTAGCAATATGCACCTACATTCAGATTTAACACGTATACATTTGCCATATTTGTTTATTTTTCTTGTTGGAGAAATAAAATATTACAGATAAAGTGTGAGTCCCATTCTCCCCATGCCCCATCCCCCCAACAGTTAATCACTATCCTGAAGTTGCAGTCATGCTTGTTCTTATACTTTTACCTAGTATGTAAAAATATATATTTAAGCACTACATAATGTTGTTTTATGCTTAAAATGTACATAAATGGGGGCGCCTGGGTGTCTCAGTCAATTAAGCATCCCAGTCTTGATTTTGGCTCATGTTGTGATCTCAGGGTCCTGGGATTGAGCCCCACACTCAGTGGGGAGTCTGAGATTCTTTCCTTCTGCCCCTCCCCCTGCTCTTGCACACTCAACGTGTGCTCTCTCTCTCTTTTAAATAAATAAATCTAAAAAAAAAAAAAATAAGGGCACCTGGGTGGCTCAGTCAGTTAGGCGTCTGCTGTTGGCTCAGGTCATGATCTCGGGGTCCTGGGATCAAGTCCCGTGTTGTCAGGCTCCCTGCTCAGCGGGGAGCCTGCTTCTCCCTCTCCCTCTGCTGCTCCCCCTACTTGTGCTCTCTTGCTCTCTGTCAAATAAATAAATACAATCTTTAAAAATAAATAAAATGTACATCAGTGGTAAAACACTGTCTCTATCCTTTTGCAATATGATTTTTTCCAACTTTGTGAATATTTTGTGACATTTATCCATGCCCATACTTGAAGACTTTGTCTCTTCATTTTGATTTTTGATTGATGTGTAGTCCATTGATTTGAATACACTCCTCCTGATGGTCAGTAAAGTTGTTACTACATTGTCGCTGTTATGGATGAGCCAGTCAGCATCTTCACCATAAATGGGATCTTCAATGCAGCTCTTTCACAGAGAAAATAAGTTCAAGTGAACTTAATTAACTTTGGTGTTATTTGGGGGGAAGATAATGGGCTTTGAAATTGATCTGAGTTCAAATCTTTGTTTTGCTTTGTGTTAGCTCAATGACCTGAGTAAAATTATTTACTTTCTTTGAGCCTCAGTTTCTTATGTGCAAATATGCAATAATAACATTACAATTGCTTGGTCTAAATGTGATACTACAGGGCCTGGCCCCTAACAGGTATCTGATGAGTGTTAGTTCTCTTTGTTAAAAATCGACTCTACCAAGTGTTGACTAGAATCTGGAGCAACACAGACTTTCACTGGTGGTGGGGAAATTCATTTGGGAAAACATGTTGATAATTTCTTAAAAAGTTAAATATATACCTACCATATGACCCAGCTATTCTACTCCTAGAGAAATGGAAACATGTCCACACAGGGACTTGCATGTGAATATTTAAAGCAGCTTATTCGTATTAGCTGGAAAACTGGAAACAACCCAACTACACATCAATAGGTAAAGAGACAAACTGTGGTGTATCCATGCAATGGAGTACTTCTCAGGAGTAAAAAGGAATAAACTACTTACACATACGTAACATGGGTGAATCTCAAGATAATTATTGCTGAATGAAAGACGCCAGACAGACAAAAGTATGAAAGTGTTTATATAAAATTCCAGAAAATGCAAACTAGTCTCTGGTGACAGAAAACAGATCAATGTTGCTTGAGAATGAGGGGAGGGACTCAAGAGGAAGGAATTCCAAAGGAGCATAGGTTTTGATGAATAGGATCCCTATTCATTGTGGGTATGGTTTCACGTGTTAGCCACTATCTTTTTTAGCTCTCATGAGACCTTTTTTTCAATGTTTGTACCTATTTTTCTGAGGCAATATGTGACATTGCATGCTTATGTAGTCCATATATACATATATATTTAGGTTTGTGCATGTGTGTGTTGTGTGTGCATGTGTGCACACACATATCTTCTAGATCCAGGTCAGTAGTGATCATCTGTGTTCCTGGAAAATTATAATTGACTGGAGCCCAGTGCAGGGCTTGAACTTAAAACCCCAAGATCAAGACCTGAGCCTGGGGGCGCCTGGATGGCTCAGTTGGTTAAGCAACTGCCTTCGGCTCAGGTCATGGTCCTGGAGTCCCGGGATCGAGTCCCACATCGGGCTCCCTGCTCAGCGGGGAGTCTGCTTCTCCCTCTGACCCTCCCCCTCTCAGGCTCTCTATCTCATTCTCTCTCTCAAATAAATAAATAAAATCTTTAAAAAAAAAAAAACAAAACCTGAGCCTGGATCAAGAATCGGATGCTTAACTGACTGAGCCACCCAGGTGCCCCTAGAATTAACTTTCCCTAAATTTATTTTTTTTTTAAGGTTTTATTTATTTATTAGAGAGAGTGCGAGAGAGAAGGAGCAGAAGGAGAAGGAGAGGCAGATTCCCTGCTGAGCAAAGATCCCTGACATGGAGCTCAATCCCAGGACTCCAGGATCATGACCTGAGCCAAAGGCAGACGCATAACTGACTGAGCCACCCAGGCACCCAGAATTAACTTTCCTTAATGAAAAAATTAGTCTAAGTACTTTTGAGAGTTGTTGTCATGCTAAAACTTCAGGTCCCAAAGTTGAAAATTAAACAAGAACAAACTAAGGCACATATCCACATATTTTAAAAAGCTTACAAGCCTTTAGTGTTAAAGCTACATTTTGCAAGTATTTTGGCTAATACTAATTAGCATGCTAATTATGGCTTTAGAAAGTGGATTTAGGAGAGCTAAACAATGCCTAGGATTCTTTTTTTTTTTTAAGATTTTATCTTTAATCTTTACACCCAGTGTGGGGCTCAAACTCACAACCCCAAGATCAAGAGTTGCATGCTCTACTTACTGAGGCAGCCAGGCACCCTAGCCTACAATTCTTTTTATCACATAGATGTTACTTAATTAGTTGTAAGTTCTGTTGAAATCAAATAATTTAGCCAAGTAGGTACTTTTTTTTTTTTTTAAGATTTATTTGTTAGTGAGAGAGTGTGCACAACTGGGAGAGGAAAGGGAAAGAGAATCTGAAGCAGACTCTGCGGAGCGCAGAGCCCTACCTGGGGCTCGATCTCATGAGCCTGAGATCAGGACCTGAGCCAAAACCAAGAGTCAGACAGTTAACCAACTGAGCCACCCAGGCGCCCTAGCTAAGTAGGTTCTAAGAAATAAATGGAGTTTGGTTATTCTAGTATATGATATGTAATACGTAAAGTCAGAGAAATATTAATGGGTAGTTAACATTTGTGTTTATAACATTGTACTTGTAACTATAAACATTTAAAAATGCTGCCTGATTTCTTGAATGCTTACGTTGTGTTGTTTTCCCAGGATGACTTTTCGCCCACGAGCAAGCTTCAGCGTTTGCTGGCAGAGTCTCGCCAGATGGTTACAGACCTGGAGCTGAGTACTCTGCTCCCCATCAGCTCTGAGAATCTCAGCAGCAGTGCCAGAAATGTATGTGGTTACTTTTCTTTTGACCCCATCTGTGTATCTGAATATTCCCCTGAGTATTCATTTGTAAATATCACTGGTCGAGCATCCCTTTCTATCAGAAGGAAAGTTCCTTTAAAGGAACTGGTTTTAAAGATGAGGAAAAAATCACACTCAAATGTCACTGCACCCAAACTTCCTCTTCCTGATTGCCTGGGTTTATGAATATAAATTCTTGGGGATATAAAAAATATACATTTTACTATAGAAAATTTCAAATACAGAAGTAGAATATTACAGGGCACCTGCGTGGCTCAGTTGGTTGGGCATCTGTTCCCTGTTCGGTGGGGAGCCTGCTTCTCCCTCTTCTCTGCCCCTTCCCCCTCCTTGTGCTCTCTGCACTCTCTTTCTCTCAAATAAATAAATAAAATCTTAAAAAAATAATAAAGTATCTTTTAAGGGGCACCTGGCTGGCTCAGTCAAAAAAGCATGTAACTCTTGATCTCAGTCATGAGTTCGAGCCCCACATTGGGTGTAGAGATTAGTAAAAAAAAAAAACAACTTGAAAAAAATAGTCTTAATCACTGACAGGTCCTTCCCCATCTTCCTTCTTACTTCCTCTTTCTTCTCTTTCATTTTTTTTTTTTAAGATTATTTATTTATTTGACAGAGAGAGACACAGCCAGAGAGGGAACACAAGCAGGGGGAATGGGAGAGGGAGAAGAAGCAGGCTTCCCACTGAGCAGAGAGCTCGATGCGGGGCTCGATCCCAGGACCCCGGGATCATGACCCGAGCCGAAGGCAGACGCTTAACGACTGAGCCACCCAGGCGTCCCCTCCTTCTTCACTTTTTTAATACCATTAATTTGTGGAAGAGACATTGGGTCATTTGTCCTGTAGCATTTCCCACATTCTGGGTCTTGCTAACTGTCCTCACTGTTATTTAACACATTCCCCTATCCTCCATGATTTCTAGGAACTGGTATTTAGATCTAGTGACTTGATTAGACTTGGGATCAGTTTGGGGTTTTTGTTTGCTTTGGCATCACTCCTTCACTGATGATGCCGTCTGCTGCGTATTCCATCATATCAGGAAGATCCTAATATCTGGTTTTGCTACTTGAGGATGTAAAGCTTGATCGCAAATTCAAGAGTTTGTCAGCCTGAGCTTTTATTATCATAAAGTTCACTTAATGATTTTAGCATTCTTTGGTTATTACTCAGATCTATTATTTCTTTATTTAAAAAATTTTTTTTTAATTTTTTATTTATTTGAGATAAAGCGAGAACAGGGAGGGGGGCAGAGGGAGAGGGAGAAGCAGGCTCTCTGCTGAGCAGGGAGCAGATGCAGAGCTCGATCCCAGGACCCTGAGATCATTACAGGAGCTGAAGGCATATGCTTAATTGACTGAGCCACCCAGGTGTCCCTAGATCTATTATTTCATTAGGAATTGCAAAATAGTCTTTCTAAATCTGTCATTCCTTCAGGGAGTGTTTTACAAATTAATTTTAATTGATTTTTCTGAGCACAGTAACATTTCAATAGCAGTGATGTAAGTTGCTTTGTGGATTTTATAGCCTTAACATAAATAGTGAAAAGAACATTGAACTTGAAATCAGGATACTTGGGCTCCATTTTCCTAATCTGTAAAGTAAGAGCTTGGAACTGATGCTTCAAATTTAAGAGACCAGGTCCATTACTTGGGTGTGCTTTGTGCATAAAGATAACTTGAAAGCCATCAAATTAAACTTTTTTGTATCCCTGACTGAAAAACTAAAATAAAAAATGTCTGTAAGAACACCGAAATACTTCTTTTAAAATCAACTGTTTGTAGCCTTTAATGCATATATACTCATTCTTTAATGAAAACTAGTCCATGGGATGCCTAGGTGGCTCAGTTTAGCATCTGCCTTCAGTTCAGGTCATGATCTCAGGGTCCTGGGATTGAGTCCCGAGTCAGGCTCCCTGCTCAGTGGGGAGTCGGCTTCTCTCTCTGTTCCTCCTCCCAGCTCGAGTTCTCTCTCTCTCTCAAAGAAAGAGAGGGAAAGAAAGAAAACTAGTACGATCACTAGTTCAGTAAGTTTAGATAAATGTATATATGCTCATGTAACCAATATCCCAGTCAAGATATAGAACATTTCCATCACCCCAGAAAGTTTCTCCATGTTCTTTGGAGTGGACCCCTCCCTTACGCCCACCCCAGGGAACTACCAATCTGATTTTTATCATGAGAGAATAGTTTTGCCTATTCTTAACTTACTATAAATGCAGTCATATAGTATGTACTCTTTGTCTAGCTTCTTTCAATAGAATTATTTTGAGATTCCTCCATGTCGTTTTATATGTTGGTACTTCACTCCTTTTTATTGCTGATTAGTATTCTGTTGTATGAATAGACCACAGTTTGTCTATTCACCTGTTGATGGGACATTTGGGTTTCCAGTTTGGGGCTATTACAAATAAAGTTGCTATGAACATTTTTATATAAGCCTTTATTTTTTATTTATTTATTTTTAAAGATTTTATTTATTTATTTGACATAGGGAGAGAGACAGCTAGAGAGGGAACACAAGCAGGGGGAGCGGGAGAGGGAGAAGCAGGCTCCTGGCCAAGCACGGAGCCTGATGTGGGGCTCAATCCCAGGACCCTGGGATCATGACCTGAGCCGAAGGCAGATGCTTAATGACTGAGCCACCCAGGCGCTCCAAGCCTTTTTTTTTTAAAGATTTTATTTATTTGAGAGTGGGGGGAGGGGCAGAGGGAGAGGAAGAAGCAGACTCCCCTCTGAGCAGGGAGCTCAGTGTGGGACTCCATCCCAGGACCCTGAGATCATGACCTGAGCCTAAGGCAGCCGCTTAACTGACTGAGCCACCCTATATAAGCCTTTTTTAAATGGACATATGTTTTTATTGCTCTAAGGCAAATACCTAGAAGTAGAATCACTAGTTATAGCACAGTCATATGTTTAACTTTTTAATAAGCCACCATACTGTTTTTCAAGGTGGTTTGCACCCTTTACGTCCCTGCCAGCAGTGTGTGCAAGTTCCAGGGGCTCTGCATCCTTGCCAGCACTTGGTTTTGTCATTCAGCTTGACTTTAGTTAGCCGTCCTAGTAAATGTGAAGTGGCATCTGGTTGCTGCTTCACTTGTATTTTCCTGCTAACCTGATGATGTGCATCTTTTCACATCCTTATTGGCTCTTCGCATATCTTCTCTTGTGAGATGTCTGTTCAAACCTTCTGCCCATTTTAAATTTGAATTATTTCCTTTGCTACTGAATTGTAAGAGTTCTTAACATAGTCTGCACACACAGCCTTTGTCTTTTGTCAGATATATCGTGAATATTTTCTCCCAGTTTGTGGTTTGCCTTTTTATTTTCTTAAGTGTCTTCTGAAGAGCAGAAAGGTAAAATTTTGATGAAGTTCAGTTTATCAATTTTTTTCAAATGGTGCTCTTTGTATCCTGAGAAATCTGCCCCAAGGGTGTGAATATTTTCTCCTCCTGAAAGTTTTAAAGATCTGTTTAGGTTTATGGTTTATCTCAGTTTAATTTTTGCAGAAGGTATGAAGTAAGGATCAGGCTCATTTTTCTTCACATAGATACCCAGTTCCAGCACCATTTGTTGAAAAGACTGTCCTTTCTCATTGAATTACTTTTGTCGACTTTGTTGAAAATCAGTTGACTGTATGTACAAGGGTCTATTTTTGGACTCTCTGATCAGTTCTATTGATCTGGTTGTTCTCCTTAGACCACATTGTACTGAATGTGTAACTCTGTAGAAAGTCTTGAAATCAAGTAGTATACATGCTCTACTTTGTTCTTTTTTGCAAAATTGCTTTGTCTCTCCTAGATCTTTTGCAGGTCCATAGCACTTTTAGAGCCAACTTGTCAATTTTTACAAAAATACACTCTGATATTCTGATTTCATTGAATTTATAGATAACTTTGGGAAGAATTGACATTTTTTTTTAAATATTTATTTAAGAGACAGAGAGAGAGAGCACAAGCAGGGGGAGTGGCAGAGGAAGAAGCAGACTCCCCACTGAGCAGGGAGCCTGATGCGGGGCTCGATCCCAGGACCCTGGGATCATGACCTGAGCCGAAGGTAGACGCTTAACTGAGCCACCCATGTGCCCAAGAATTGACATTTGTGAAGGGAGTATATATCTCCATTTATTTAGGTCTTTCTTCATTTCTCTTAACCATATTCATAAGGGTTTTCATAGGGGTCTTGCATATCTTTTGTTAATTTTATTCCTATTATTTTGTTTATTGATGCTATTATGCATGATACTTTCAATTTCACTTTCTAATTGTCTATTGATGGTATAAAGGATTGCAGTTGACTTTTGTAAATTGTTCTTAACTAAATTCACCTAGTTTGGTAGGTTTTCTGTAGATTCTTAGGATTTTCTACATAGACAATCATGTCATTTGTAAATAATTTCTTTTTCTAATCTTTAGGTTATGTCTTTTTCTTACCTTATTGCTCTGGCTAAGACCTCCATATCAATACTGAATAGAAAAGTGAGAGTGGACATCCTTGTCTTGTTCAGTGAAATTCTCTCTGGTGGGGGTATTGCTTGCTTAGCTCTCCATCATATTGGTATTTTATTAGATTCAGAGTTCCATGGCACTGTTTCCATGTGCCACAGATGATCTGAAATAAGAACATTAACCGTTTTATTTTATTATTATTATTATTATTTTAAGATTTTTTTCATTTATTTGACAGAGAGAGACACAGCGAGAGAGGGAACACAAGCAGGGGGAGTGGGAGAGGGAGAAGCAGGCTTCCCACCGAGCAGGGAGCCCGATGCGGGGCTCGATCCCAGGACCCCAGGATCATGACCTGAGCCGAAGGCAGACACTTAACGACTGAGGCACCTAGGTGCCCCTATTTTATTATTTTTTTGAAGATTTTATTTTTAAGTAATCTCTACACCCAACGTGGGGCTTGAACTCACAACTCCCGAGATCAAGAGTTGCACACTCCACCAACTAAGGCAGCCAGGCGCCCCAA